CGCCCTCCCGCTCCTTACCAAAGTGCTCGCTCACAGGCTCTGCGGCCCAAACCGCCCTTGCTGCCGCAGCCGCGAGCGCTGCAGGAAGTCTAAAAGGGTAACAGGAAAAACGGCGCGGAGCCGCGCTCGGCAGCTACGCACCGACAGCACCGCCCACCAGCTCGCTCGCTCGCCCTCTTGGATGTTTATGTAGTGTTATGAAATCCTATATAACCCAACAGGGCTTTGCTGGTTTCTGAAATGTTTGTGTCGTAACAGAGCCTCATTCATCAAACGCGTCGCTAATGAATTTTCCACTGAGCAAAACCGGGGATGCTCTCGGGGACAGGTCCTGAAACAGAGCCTGTGCTTGCATCCAACCGACGGCCAAAATTGGGTTCCTTGTTTCAGATCAGATTTAAAAAAAAAAAACCACCAACAACAAACCAAAACAAAAAAACCACAAAAAACAAAAAAACCCCCCACACACAACATCCAAGTGGGGCCATTTATCCCCAGCTTCAACCTCTTCCAAAGACGGGTTGTTTTTAGCTGTCTCGGAGCAGAGGCTCTCCCTCTGCTCTCCCCCTCTGCAGAGCCACCCAAGACTTGCAGACAGCCGAAGGAAAGGAAGAGAAGTCACCCCACCAGGGACAGAAGAACCGCAGACTCACTTTCAGAAGGGATTTAGGCACTAAGGAGCCTGTTTTTGAGATGTAGGCACGCGTTTTTCTTTTGAATTAATACAATGTAAGAGTCCAGAGTGTTTGGTGCAGAAAAGTCTTCACGAAAGCAGGACCTCAGCCAGGGCAAGGACAGAGGAGACACTTGGCAAGTCCATGCCATTTGCCCCTTTTCCTCCTCTGCTCCCCAGCCCACTGCATAGATCAAACCCTGCCATTTAGTAGGTCATGGCAGGAAAACAAATCCCCCATCGCACAAACTATGTTTCGTAAGGAGATTGCATTTCAGAGAGAAAAACCTCCGGCATTTGGCTCCGTGACTCTACGGTGAATGAACCGTGTGGGCTGGGTGCTCGTAGAGCCCCGTCCAGCGCCGCAGAGAGGGACGTATCCACGAACGCAGCCCGGCGTCCTCACCGCCGCTCCCCGTGGAATGGCAGCTCAGCAGGACTCGCAAATATTTTGTGTCCAAGAAGAGCAAGCGCTTGCCAGGCTTTCTCATGAAGGCTACGGCACGCTGGGATCGGTTCCCAGTTCTCAGTCCAAAATATCCCTTAACATTAATGCTCAAGGCATGCCACAAAAAAACAATTATCAGCTGGGACTTGTGGCAGGGACTGACTCCCTGGGAGTGTTTTCCTGCCCATTTTTAGCCTCTGTATGATTAGAGCTATATTGCTCCATGGCTATTCTACTTCACTCCGCCTCTTAATGCAATGCCCATTACATCTTTTAGGGGAAGCTGCACATAGATGTTTAATGACTGCTTTTTCTAAAGGCCTGGATTATGTCCTTACAGGCTTTCCTCAGCTGTGAGTCACCCTTTTAGACCTCAGATGCAAAAAAAACCCCAAACCAAAACCCAAACCAAAAGAGGCAAAAGAGAAGGGAGAAAAGGCTGAGAGCTGGAGCCTGAAAGGCTCAGGAAACACCAGCAACCTTACAAACCAGCCAGCCCTAGCGAAGTTTCCGCGAGTACATTGGTGCCTGGACAGCAGCAGAGTGGGATGCTGCAAACGGGAGGCAGAGAACCTCTTCAAAACGCCTCCTTAATGGCCAGAGGTTGCACACGGGGGAGATACTCGGTGATCCTGGAGGGTCAGGGAAAAGCCCTGGGCAGGAGGTGCTGGGATGCTGTCGGGATACCCACACCCTTGCTGACACCAATGGGACACCCCCGGCTTGCCACAAAGGAAGGGAACAGGTGACACAACCTTATCTAAGATGACATCAGTCAAATTATAAAAGAACTCAGCATGACCCCAGCTTGCCACCGGCCACAAGCCGTGCAACCCCACCGAGAGACATGTTGGAAAACATGCAGTGGCTTTTGGCTGGGAGCTTGCAGAGGGTCCTTCTGCCCGGGGTGAGGCACCCATAGCCCCCGGGAGACCTCTGTCCCCAAGAAAAGCTGCGTCAGCCTCGGGCAATGGTGCACCAAAGGGATGGGGAGGGAAGGCGAGGTGGCTCGCCTGGAATTCGGGCAATGCAGCCATTAGTGTTGGAGGACTGTGCTGCTACAGGGAGGGGGAGGAAGAGTTTTCCAGGGCGAAAGTGCTTATTCATCACCAGAACTCATCTGGAAATTATCCAAAACCCAGCTGTTTGAAGAAGTGAAACTTCTCCTCAGCATGTCCCTCTTCTGACATAACTTTGAAGAAAGGTTTCTCCTCCCTGCGGTGGGATCGGGGGCAGAAGTTCACTGTGGGACTGTCCCTCCCAGGCAGGGCTCCCTCTCCACTTCTGGCTCTGCTTTTTCATCAGAAAACTTGTGCCAGTCTCAGCCCATCCTGCTGCGGGAAAAGAAACTGAGTCGTCAGGAAATACAGTAGTTGGGGGAAAAAAAAATAAAACTCGTCCTATGTAGCCCTAGTCCCCGTCCTGGGGCGCGGTGCCGGGGGAGCGCATGCACGGGGCATCTCAGCACTCGGCACTGTCACCGAATTGCTCCCAGGAGTGCCACCAGCACCGGCAGAGCTGTGGGAGCATGAGCACGGGCTTGGGCGAGCCTCAGGGTGCTGGGATGGAGGGATCTGCATGAAAACAAAAGCGAAAGGGAGAAAGACCGGCTGGGAGAGCGGGAGGAAAGCGCAGGAGAGAAAAGGACTGAAGGATGCGTCCAGGCAGAAGGACCATAGCACAGTGTTAGGGGCTGCCCTGGAGAGCCCATGGCTGCACTCCTGCCTCTAGCAATAGGGGCACGTGTGGGAGAAACTGAGGCTTGCAGGGGTAGCTGAGCCATTGCAATGAATTTAATACCAGCCTTATGTATCACAAAGCTTTACAGGTATTGCTCGGAAGTGATATAAGGTCTCATCCCTAGATGTTCCTCGCACCCCAGCCCTCACGCAGGCATTGCGCTGTTGAGCAGCGCTGGCCAAAGGAAAGAGCAGGCAGAGCACGCCGCGACAGCCGCCGTTCCACACCACCCGCCTCAGCAAGGCCGGGAGCCCCATCCACGCTTCGGAAAAAAATCTCCACAGCTACAAAGACAGTGTAGATGCTGGCAGATAGGCAGGAGAGGAACCGAGAGCTGCTGTGACTGTCAGAAATTTCCCATATGCATTAACATGGCGTGCCTTGGGGCACAAGAAGCTTTGCAAAGCTCCTGCCAGGTATTTGTTCGATAGCACAGCCTGCACACCTTGACCTTTAAGACAGATCAAATGAGTTTCTTTGGGAGGGAATTAATAAGAGGTAATGAAAAATTAAATATAGACATCTTAAATTGCACCTATTGCCTGGCCCCCCGTTGATCCCAGGCACACAGGCAGGGGCTGACCACCGAGCTGGCCTGGGCTTAGCCCCACGCCAGCCTCCACCGCATGGGTCACCACCCAGATCACGCCAGTACACGAGGCCATGAAAGCCCAGTGCTGCGAGGGCCTCCTCCGGTCCCCGTGCCTCAGGGACTGTGCAGGTCGCAGGCTCTGAAAAGCTGAGCTCCAAGTGCAGGATCTCACCCTCCTGCCCAGCCCTCACCTGCTGCTGCTCTGAGCCCCAAGAGATGCCAGCCGCCTCGAGAAACCGAGCTATTTCCCTTGCGGAGATGTGGTTTGTCTCTGCTCTTTCATCTTTTATTAGATAACCCTCAGCCCACGTTATCTCTTTGCTTTCTTTAACAAGGTTAATTTATGCCAGCCTGAGACCAGGGAGCAACCGAGCTGCTTTCACAAGCAGTCCAGGAAGGGTTAAACACAGTTTTTCCTATTCTGTCCAGTCCTTAACCACAGGCTCTTGTTCTTCCTCTACTCACCTCTGGTCTTTTCTAATTTTCACAAGGCTGCAGCTGGGGTTTACTGACTGTACAGCCAACATCTCAAGAACATTAACCTGCAGCAGCCTTCGTGTTCCCAAGCCTGGGACATCCCTAGTTCTCCACATGAACCAACCAAGCAGACCCCAGCCCAACCCACGGGGCTGGGGGAGCTCAGCCTTAACATGAGCTGGGCTGGCAGGGTCAGGCCTAAGGGGTACAACACCAAAACAAACACATCAGCCGCAGCCCCCTTGCTTCGGGCTGCTCCAGCAGGATGCCTTTAATCCCAGAGGGAGTCCACGGGCTGCTATAGCAGGATGCTTTTAATCCCGGAGGGAGTCCATGGGCTGCTATAGCAGGATGCTTTTAATCCCGGAGGGAGTCCACAGCGTGGAGTGCATCAGCTGCAGTGCAAGCTGAGAGGCTGGAACAAAACCAGGAGAGCTATTTTCAAAGGATCAAACCCATAGTTTTTACCTTCTGTTTCAGAATAATTGATCTGCCTCATTTGCAGTGCTGGAAGCAAAGGGTCTGGCCAAGTTTTGGAGTGAAGTTCACATCTGCGTGAAAAACTCACTCACCATCTACTCCAACCCTCTCTCTCAAGCCCTGGCTGGAGAAGCTGCTGCTGCGCCTGCTCTGGAGGAGACCTGCCCACTGCAGCCTGCCGGCTCTGCCCGCCAAGCCCAACGGGCCACTCGGCCCCGGGCCAGCCTGCACGCAGACAGCAAAGCAAGAGGCTGGGTGGGAAGCTGACGGGTCCTCAGCAGCGTGGTAAATGGAGCTGCTTAAAGTCAGCACAAAGGCAATGGCCAAGCTGAGCCTGACCACACCAGGAATGTCACTAGAGGAACATTGGCCATCTGCAGTGGAGAGTATCCCACTGAGCTTTGGCTTTAATTAAACTTGTTTTGCTTTTCCCCTATAAAACAGATATTTAGGTCAAAAATTGCATCTTGTTGGATGCTATGTTTTGTACCGATACCACGCCGAATGCCCTAGAAACGAGGACAGGTTGGAAATGACACCTAGGATGTGTCTCAGGCTTTGGGGAACCTCATGGTTTCAACACCCATCCCCAGACCAACGGCCCTTCCATTTCCCCAGGAGGCACCAAACCACTGTGCCTGCTCACGTCCCAGCAAAGACTCTTGCTTCCAGGGACAGG